ATCATATTATGTACCATATTATTATTATTCCTTTTTTTTGTGATTTATAAACTAAAAGTTATTATTTTAGTTATACCTAGTATAAAAGTTTTATACTACTTGTAAATTGTACACATACTTATTATAATTATTTTCATTAATATAACAATTTACATCAATATATGGTACTTCTTTATGTTAACAGGGGGGGGCTATACATTTTGTACATACAGATACTACATATTACACATTTTAATACTTACATCATATTATTATGTAAAATATACAATAAAAATATTATTGACAATTTTCAAAATTATTTTAATTGTTAGTTTAAATTTTTCTATTTTATTTGAATTTAATATTATTGTTTTTTACAAAAATATGTGGTGGACTATGCATTTAAAATATAACTATTATTCCCTAATAGTACTGTTCATTAAAATGTATAACATAGTATATAATTTATTATGGTAGGTATGTCAAGCAGCAAGCTGCTACTTATTTACTGTAATTTCTTACAACATACAATATTGACATCTAGTCATAAATCTACATTCAATTTTATGAAATATAAATTTCATGAATTTCTTCTATATTTACCTAGTTAAAAGACACATACCTAACTCACGTTAAAATGTATATAATGGTAAAAAAAAACCTTACAAACACTGATATTCTTACCATTAATAAAATATTAACATTTGTCAAAAATGTTAAAGTAATACATTGTTATTGAGTTGACGGCCACCAAGGTTTTGTTGTAGTATAAGTATAAATTAATAAATAAAAACACAAGACAAAATTATTATGAACACAATTGTTTAATAAGAACTCTGTTAAAATGTTACAAATATCTAAAAAAAAAAAAATAAATGCAAGAAATGTTTTATTTAAAAAAAATGTAATATTTATATTATAATCTGTAATAATTGTATTTAAATTATGGCAATTTATTTTTATAAAGGTAGAGAATAGAACATTATTATTAATTGGTCGATTAGGTCAGTAAATAATCCTGTTTCCATGCACATATTTCAGATAATCTAATTGTTCCGGGGTAGTGCCATCTCTGATGTAATATAACGACAAGGTTAGACGTTTTTGCATACGTATGCCAAGCAGTCTAAATGCCGCAGCCTTGGAACACGTACTTCTACCCCATAGCCAGTATGGCCGTCGCGTAGAAATACATGTGCCAAGGCTGAGGCATTCGACATTTAGACTGCATGGAATACGTATGTAAAAAAGCTTAGTCTTGGAGTGGGGCCGCTAATTATATTTCTGAAGTAAGTACGCACAGCGGCGTAGATACAATTTTTTTCTGGGGGGGGTTTTAAAATATATTTATGATCAAATTTACAAGTTATTAGTTAAACTAAACGTCATTTTTATTTTTATTATTTTATTTTTATTTTTATTATAATAGGAAATTCATGGTGTCCATATATTATTTATAACTGTATGAATTTCACTATGAGATAACACACGGTTAACAAAATATATTATGTCATTAATTCTTATATCAACTGAAGTAAAAGATGAAGAAGGTATACAGGTTTCAGGAGTCTTAATATTTAGATCACTTTTAGGTGCTAAAGAATTTACTATGGTAGAATTTTTAGGTTTCGATTTCTAAAATACAAAATTAATATTTTGATCAATTGTTTGTATTCGTTAAGTAATATTATAAAATTTTAAAATATACAAATATACTTTAATAGAAGCTAGTATTATGTACTATAAAATAAACATTAAATACTAGACAGTAACATCAATAAAAATAAATAATAAATACTAAAACTGTTAAATACGCAACAATTGAATTACTATTTTATTAGAATAAATAAAATAATAATGTTTTCAGAGTTTAAGCTATGCGTAATTTATTATATTAGGGTATTAAACTATTAACATTGTATAAAAATAATGCAATATTGTTTAATATGCTTACCTAGATACCTTTATAACAAATTTATCCATAATTGATACTTGATACGCGTATTAAATATTAATGTTTCAAACTCTAACAATCAAATGAAATATTATGTCGGTCGACAGATCGTAATATTATCGACCGGCGTCGGAGTGATGAACGTCGGAGGCCGTTATCGTTGTTTTCGTCGATTTTATAATTGGTTTTCTTAAAATAGAAGTGTAAACACTCGGATAATTTCTACAACCAGGGATATTATTATAAATAGTAATAATAATATACATGTTAATTTGTACTAGTATTATTTAGTATAACTATTATTTAAAATTATAACCAATATGAACATTTTGTTTTGATGATAGGGGGGGTGGAAACCCCTTACACCCCCCCGTAACTACGCCACTGAGTACGCACATGAAAATGGATTTGTTTTGGATTGAATTACCATAACCACAGCAGAAGGTGAAAACAACGGATCAGGTTTGAGATTGAGTGCATTACTGCCGGCCTGACTGCTCTTGAACGCTCTTCAGTCCGTATCGATTGACGTATGGAAAAACTGTAAACAAAATAATAAAATAAATACATTTTTAGTGATCCAATTGTCGAACAGTTTTGGTGAGCACCGAGGAGTCATAAATGCAAGTAGGTAGGTAACATTAAAGGCTCGGTCAAACAGAATCCGAGTTGCCATGGTGTACGGCTCAGCAAACCTGTTCCTGTTCGATTGAGCCTTAACATGAGAAAACGTCGAAACACTAAAATCTAACCGTAATGTCGTGAGTGTTACGGATATACAAGAGAACAAGACTTACTTGATGTCGACTTTCCACACGTGATCAAAAATGTTCGATAATCCAAAATGCGCGCCAAGGTTGGGTGCCATCGTGAATGCTCTTCCGTCCACATCAATCGACGTATGGAAAAACTGTAAACAAAAATATATAATAAATACATTTTCAGTGAAACAATCGTCGAGTAGTTTTGGTCGGGAAGTCATAATTACGAGTAGGTAGGTAACGTTAACAAGACAAAACGCCGAATTACTAAAATCTAACCGTATCGACAGGAGCGTTACGAATATATTATGAGAGAACATGACGGAACTTACTTGACGTTGACTTTGAATGGCGTCCGATTTTGCACGCGAACAAAACCGTTCGGCAATCCAAAATCCATACCGAGGCTGTCGCAGTACACAATCAAGTTGATTGCACAACAACTCGGAACCGAACGACAAAATGTAAACGACAACAAACAACGACAGACGGACGCTACAGCAGACCGCGCAGAGAGCATTATTCAATAGCCAATCGCGAGCCTGCCTAGCGCGTATGCAGCTGCCACGACTGCCTGCCAGACGCTACCGCTGCTGCCTGCTTGATAATATAATATTATGCCAAGTCACAGATTTCTATATAGTAGGTTAGGTACTTATGTCTTATAGATAGCGAACTGCCGCCGTGAATTGAAGCTTCAACGTCGGTTGGCAATTGTATGGTATTTCATATGACAAATGAGATGATATTATTATTATGATTTATTTCGAGTCATATTTTATTATTTCCAAACATGTCGTTTAAAAAAAAAAAAATATTTTATATAAGTCATTTTATAATTACTATTTTATTTGACCAAAAATATTATTCACAATACGTATTGTATAATAAATGAAATGTTTTGCCAACCGACAAAATGGCGAAACAACCGAAGTGGACGCCGCGCCGTGTGAAACGACGACGGACGCGGTCGGCAATGCCAACCGTCGCAGCCATAGACAAGTATACCTTTAGGTCGCAGCGGTGATCGGCGTCGAACGGATCTCGTGGATGACGCGGCCATGGAAAACGGATAAAACGGGGAACAAAAAAAAGTCTCGGGGCAACAAAACTGTTATTATTTACTACTATCCACAGACCTCATAATCAGGTTGGATTAGGCCACGAACTAAGATATCCGTGGATTAGGCATATTTATCACGCATTATCACTAGTATCATTAGTTATCGCTCACTAATTCCCAGGGATAATGCTGTTATTACTTATTAGCATAAAATATGCGTCGGCACGTCTCGGCCGTCAAGTATAGTTTTGTAAAACTATAAACACATAGAAAGCACATTTCAACCAGCGACTCGTTGCTTGTAAATTGTATGAGCATTATGTGCTTCAAATATCGGGACATGTATTCCGTCCATAGTATATGATATGATCTAAGTTATTAATAATAACAATTAACAGTTGATTATTACCA